TGCTTGCCAAGGAAGGCCTGAGCTCACAGTCTGAATCCACTGCCCACATAGCACAGCACAAAACTGAGGCTTTTCAGCCCTGACTATCATCTTCAGAGAGACACACGTTGGTTTGTGCCCAGTTTGTGATCTCTGCAGTCATTCCTTTGGCGTGTGATGCTGGGCGGTCACGAGAGGGGCACCCATCCAAAGCAGCCTCTGTATCATATTGTCCCCACACACAGGGCAACCTGTACTTGGGCTCGCCCCACTCGATTCTAGGCACGGAGTTCAATGGCTTTCTAGAGATTTTTATGAGCCCATAATACGTCCACACTTTAGACACTGTGACCCCAGGGCCCGAGGCAGTCTGGCACAGTGGTCAAGAGCAAGGGGGCTGCAGGCGGACTGCCAACGCTGGCTGTCAGCACAGCCACTTCCTAGCTTTGTGACTCTGGGCACGTTACTTAACCTCTCTCAGCTTCCGTTTCCTCACGGGGATAAGAGTAGCAACACCAGGGTGTTCCCAGGGTGGGGAGGATTCCATGGGACGTACAGGAGGTAGCCAGGCACCTGGTAGTTGAGTCACAGCTACTGTGGTTACTTAAAAAGCTTTTCTTTAACAGCAAGTCTCAATTCTAATGAGCTTAAGGAGGGATCCATCTTTGGCCTTTGGCTTCCTGCAGGAAATCCTTCCATGAACAGCAACAGCAACTGGCAGATTTCCTTGTCAACTGCTGCCAACCATGAGGGGAAATGCCGCCCTAGTTAACTTCCCACTTACACTGGAGGTGCAGCTGGGGCAGGCCAGACAGAACGTGCAGAGCATTTTGTTAAAGTGAGCAATCTTCAGCGCTGAGGTGACTGCACAAAGCCTCAGTGAGACCACTAAAGGGGCTATGTCAGTCATCAACTGTCTCAGAATCCGAGGAACACTCTAGAAACCTTCTAAGCTGTCACAATTGTGGCAGTATGGCATTTCCCAGCCTTTGGTAGAATCTCAGTGACATCCCCTCCTTCAACCCCTGGGCTGTCCCTTGAAGAAAGACTCACTAGAAAGGATGTTCACCCTCACACACCAGCCTCGGCTGCCTGCGGCAGCTAGAGATTTCCCTTGACGCTGGCTGAGAACAATTCCAGTGTCCCAGGCCTCCCACAAAACAAGATACACACAGTGCACGTGTAAAATGAGCAACCGGTTTAGAGAACAGCTAAAGGGAGCAAAAAGTGCGGAGTTAGCTACATTTTTTACACACCGAGCAGGAAAGGCTACACCATTCCATTCCCCTTTCCCCAAACAGAAGAGGCTTCCTGGGGCCGGCTCTGGGGGTGGAGTCGGGTAGGTGGTGGCTTCCATGAAGGTCCATTTAGGCCACTGAGCAGTTGCCCACGTTCACACTCCACCCTCTTCTCCTGGGTGAGGATGTCAATGCTCCGTTTTACGTCCCTTTAACAAAGACCCTATTTGCTTGCAGGCGGAAGGATATTGCACTCATCGGCACTGACTGGCGGCTGTCCCAGCAGTGCTTGGAGCAACTGCACTCGCATGTCATGAAAGCATCGAGCCTAGTGTAAAGCACTCTTGTTGCCGGCAGCTGGAGAGCTTCAGACCTGCACAAGGACACAAATCCATGTCTGTTTCTGCTCTCGGATCTTTCTCCAGACCTGAATAAACTAGGGTAATCACCTTATTTAAGGCCCAGTGGTAGGCAAAATTGTAAAGATGTTTCCCAAGATTCCTGTCTTGGTGATTAAAGTCAAACACTGATCTAGGTACTATTGTGAATGAACTTTTCAGATGAAATTAAATTCAATCAAACAGTAATCTAGGTACTATTGTGAAGGGACTTAGCAGATGCAATTAAGGTTACTAATCAGATGGCCTTAAAACAGTGAGATTATCATTTCACCCCAGTTAGACTGGCTATTATTAAAAAGACAGAGAATAATAAATGCTCGAAAGGATGTGGAGAAAGGGGAACCCTCCTATACCATTGGTGGGACTGTAAAGTAGTAGAACTGTCATGGAAAACGCAGGCACACACACACACACACACACACACAGACACAATGGAGGTCTCTCAACCAACTTCAGATATAACTGTCCAAATGCTGGGTATTTACCCGAAGGAATGGAAATCAATATGTTGAAGAGATACCTGCACACCCATGTTCATTGCAGCTCTATTTAAAATAGCCAGGCTATGGATCAAACCTAAATTTCCATCAACAGATGACTGGATAAGGGAAATGTGGGAACAGTGGAATACTGCTCTGCCATAAAAATGAATGCAGTTCTGCCATTCGCAGCAACATGGATGAACTTAGAGAATATTATGTTAAGAGAAATAAGCCAGGCACAGAAAGAGAAATACCATGTGTCCTCACTCTTAAGTGGGGGCTAAAATAAAGAATGAAAGAAAAGTAAGAAAGTAAGAAAGAAAAGAAAGAAAGAAAGAAAGGAAGGAAGGAAGAAAGAAAGAGAAAGAAACAAAGAAAGAATCACAAAAATACATTGAGCCTCAAAAAAAAAAAAAAGAGAAGAGAACTGTGNTTTCCTGAATGAGAAGTTGTACTTGTACAATGGAACCTTTATCCAGAGTCCTCAGAAATGAAGATGGGGCAGGGCCTGATTAGCCCAGAAGGGAAGGAGCCAGGTCGCCAGCTCCACGGATCTCTAAGCTGGGATTCCAGCCAGCAGCGACAGCCTCCTGGGGACCTGTGAGAGCTGTGGTTCTCGGGCCCCAGCCCGCGCCTCCTGAGTCAGAAACGGTGGGCTGGGTGGGCTGGGGCAAGGAGGGATGCTGGCTCTGGACCTCCAGCGATCCCGAAGTGCTATCGCACACCCTGCCCCAGGAGGTCTCAGGCTTCCTTGGCATAGCGTCCCCACATACACTCGCCCTTCCGGAGTGCCCCCCCACATGCATGCACACACACACGTGCCACACATACATACACACATGACAGACGTGCACAAACATGCCACACATGCACACACAAACAGCACACATGCAAACATACATGTCACATATGCACATGCACACCACATGCACCCACACACGCGTCGTTCATGCACACACACTTATGCCACGCATGCAGACACACACTACACACATACACCGCACATGCACACATACACACACATGCCACACAGTCTCGCACTCACAGAAACTCTCACACACACTAGTACACACACACCCTTTCTTCTCTCTCTCTCACACACACACACACTCACCTCTCTCTGACACACACGCACACACACAATCACATACTCTCTCACACAGACACACTCACATCTCTCTCTGACACACACACACACTCACACNGCTTCAGACCTGCACAAGGACACAAATCCATGTCTGTTTCTGCTCTCGGATCTTTCTCCAGGGTTCCGGCTTCAGGTAGCTCTTGCTTTATAGGTTCTTGCCTAGCTGGTACTCCCAGCATGCTAGAAAAGCAGAAACCATTTCTCGCTCACAGTGGCTGTTTTGGCAATAGCCGCTACTATGTACCTGGAGGAATTCCACGGTGTAAATGGCAAAGTCCCTTGAAGGCGTGGCACCCCACTGGGGCAGAGCAGGTGTCCCACCAGCCTCTACTCCTGCAGCAGGACACATCCATTTACAGCACAAGCTTGTAAAAAAATAACAGAATTTACTGTAGAGAAGTAGGAAGTAACACCGTATATTACGATGCTAAACCGTTTGTATAAATACTGTCCAGGAATGGAGTCACTCCATGAGAAAGGGCTCACCCATGAGGCTATTCACAGCTGCTGGCAGCATGCCCAAAGAGAAACTACTTCCACGGTGTGAGTGGGAGAAGAATGACTGTGCTGTGTCTACACACCTGGCCTGGTGCATTAGAGATGCAGTTGCAGTTCCTGCTGACTAGGCGCCGACCGGACAGCTCTGAGCCACAGTGGAG